GGCCTTATAAAGTGTGCAAATCTACATGTGGGGTTAAATCTGATCTAAATATTTCTTGTTGTTACTTCATGTTTCCCGTTTAATCCTAATGTATCAAAGATAAAGTCAGCACCATGAATGAAAACTACCTTCAGCCCTTCATATAGTCATTTGACCAATGGAAATCCTGTGATTCTACATGACAGGCTAAAACCTTGCAACTTTGGCAACTGTTGGTGGGCCAAATCAAATGGCTTGGTGGGACAAATTTGGCCCACGGGCCCCGCTTTGGTAAATGGTAAATGGTACTGAACTTATACTGTAGAGCGCTTTTCAAGTCCCTCCGGACCCCCAAAGCGCTTTACACTAACAGACATTCACCCATTCACACTCACATTCACACACTGATGATGGCAAACTACACTGTAGCCACAGCTGCCCTGGGGCACACTGACAGAGGTGGGGCTGCCATGCATCGGCGCCACCAGACCCTCTGACCACCATCAGTAGGCAAGGTGGGTGAAGTGTCTTGCCCAAGGACACAACGACTGAGACTTTGGGCTCCTCTGCTTTAGAATATTGTTTTTATACTCAGAACACACAAATATACAGTCACAAAACTATTTACATAATTTACACAAAAACAATGCATAGAGTTCATCCTAACCAAAACTAATTTGCACAAACAATGGTCTGCATACAAAACAACAGAAGAATTTACTGTGTACAGTTACAGTACAAAAAAATACATAAACGTGTGTAAAGATATGAATATATATAGCTCCAAGGTCATCAGAGATTATGGTCCTTGGCATTCCTTGTCCTTGTCTTCCTCTCACTCCAAAGCTAATGTTCTGATTGATTCATTTAAATCTGGGGAACAGGTGTTTGCCCATGTCAGTGTGCATAGGCCAACTACCTTTAGAGTTTTAAATGACAGTGTCGTCTTTGTGACAACAAGGGATTTTCTTTCATGAAAAATGTGTCAAAATGCAGAGAACTGAAAAAGTGTTTTAGAACTGAAATTTGTGTGTAAAGCAGGAACTGTGGTTGCAGTTTAGCAGAAATGGTTGATACTGGTGCTTCAGCTACATATTGTGGTCATTAGTCGCAAGAAGCATAAAATGTGTGCAAACAGTTGAGAAAAACTAAAAAAAAATTGATCATTCACTTCTGCAGTGTTATAATAAGGCCAGCAGAGGGCGACATTTAGCTGTTGAACAGCTTGATTTTAACCACACAAGAACTCATTTCCTCTTTTTTCTTTTCTAAAAGATAAATGATACCACGATGTGAGGCAATAATGTGAGGCAACACTTTTTGCCACTAACTAACATCCTCAAAACTACTAAACTTTATTTTTTTACAACATTTATTCACAGAATAGATGTAGATCTTATTTAGAGGGCAAAAAAATTACAGTAAAATAAGATTAAATTACATTTGAGTGAATGATTTACAAAACAAATTTAAAGAGATCTGAAGCGGAATATGTTTATTTTGAACATGGTCAATTTTTTTTTCTTCATTAAGAACAATGTTGTTTCATTTTAAAAAATCCTTTCCCACGAAAATAAATGAAAACATATGATGATTTGTCAGAACAAAGAGTATAAAACAGTAAATAAAGGAAACAACAAGTTGGTTGTTTCTCTGTAATTAGTTCTCAAACATGAAAACAAAAGGTTTTATTTCTTTCATCTGTGCAGAGTACATTTGTTCAGATTGTGGCTACACGTTTCCATGGAAAAGACTAAAACAAACCAGCTGTTTTGAGCTCTCACACTGAAGGACCACCACCTCCCTCTTTGACGCAAGACTGACTCAGTACGTGCGTGTGTGTGCGTGTGCGTGTGTGTGTGAGTGTGTGTGTGCTGGGGAAAGGGGGAGGGGGGGGGGTTTAAAAAGCAAATGTAAGGCTCCAATCCTCCTTTAAGCTTCACACCAAGACAGGAGGAATAGCTGCTGATTTAAAGCTGAAGAAAGTCATCATCAGGTAGGACTGAACAATCAGAACATACATTAATTTATTTCTTTGTTTTTGTTTATGTAATTTTACTTTTTAATATGTTTCACAAAAAATTAAAATAATGTATGTATTTTCTTTTTTTATAGACAGACATGTTAAATATGTAATTTAGGATTTATGTTAATTAATTTAAATAAGAAGAATAGTATTCTATTTCCAATAAATATATTGGTACATGTTTTAAAATATTTAATGATTCAGCACTCTGCGCAGTCTAAAAAGTCTTAAAATGACTTAATGTGGACTTTATTTTTTTATTTCATTTTATTTTATTTTTGAGTAAGAAAACAGGACTTCCTAAATATTTACAGTGGGTAAAATAAGTATTGAACACGTCATCATTTTTCTCAGTAAATATATTACTAGAGGTGCTAATAACATGAAATTTTCACCAGATGTTGGTAACAAACCAAGTGATCCATACATACAAAGAAATCAAACCATAAATGTCCAGAAATGAAATTATTTGTAATAATGTGGAATGGCACAKGGAAAAAGTATTGAACACACTTACTGAAATTTATCTAATACTTTGTACAAAAGCCTTTGTTGTCAATGACAGCTTCAAGACGCCTCCTGTATGGAGAAACTAGTGGCATGCATTGCTCAGGTGTGATTTTGGCCCATTCTTCCACACAAACAGTCTTCAAATCTTGAAGGTTTCGTGGACCTCTTCTATGAACTCTGATCTTTAGTTCTTTCCATAGATTTTCTGTTGGATTCAGGTCAGGTGATTGGCTGGGCCATTCCAGCAGCTTTAGTTTCTTTCTCTGAAACCAACTGAGAGTTTCCTTGGCTTTGTGTTTGGGGTCATTGTCTTGCTGAAATGTCCAGCCACGTTTCATCTTCATCATCCTGGTAGATGGAAGCAGATTTTTATCAAGAATGTCTCTGTATATTTTTCCACTCATCCTTCCTTCAATTATTTGAAGTTTTCCAGTACCATATGCTGAAAAACAGCCCCACACCATGATGTTCCCACCTCCAAACTTCACTGTTGGTATGGTGTTTTTGGGCTGATGTGCAGTGCCATTTGACCTCCAAACATGATGTGTATTCTGGCATCCAAACAGTTCAATGTTGGTCTCATCTGACCAGACTATATTCTCCCAGTATTTCACAGGCTTGTCTAAATGTTGTGCAGCAAACTTTAAAGGAGCTTCAACATGCTGTTTCTTCAGCAGTGGAGTCTTGCGTGGTGAGCGTGCATACAGGCCATGGTGGTTCAGTGCATTACTTATTGTTTTCTTTGAAACAATCGTACCTGCTAATTCCAGGTCTTTCTGAAGCTCTCCACAAGTGGTCCTTGGCTCTTGGACAACTCTTCTGATAATTCTTTTCACTCCTCTGTCAGAAATCTTGTGAGGAGCACCTGGTCGTGGTCGGTTTATGGTGAAAAGATGTTCTTTCCACTTCTGAATTATGRCCCCAACAGTGCTCACTGGAACCTTCAGAAGTTTAGACATTCTTCTGTAACCGATGCCATCATTATGCTTTGCAACAATAAGGTTGTGAAGGTCTTGAGAGAGCTCTTTACTTTTACCCATCATCAGATGGTTCTTGTGTGATACCTGGCCATCATTTGGGTCTGAACCAGCTGATATTAACTTGCACTGACAAGGGGCAGGCTTGTTTTCTAATTACTGAGAGAGTTCAGCTGGTGTCTTGGCTTTCCATGCCTTTTTACACCTCCCTTTCTTCATGTGTTCAATACTTTTTCCCTGTGCCATTCCACATTATTACAAATAACTTCATTTCTGGACATTTATGGTTTGATTTCTTTGTATGTATGGATCACTTGGGTTGTTACCAACATCTGGTGAAAATTTCATGTCATTAGCACCTCTAGTAATATATTTACTGAGAAAAATGGTGACGTGTTCAATACTTATTTTACCCGCTGTATTTTAAGGTTTCAAACATAGAAATAAAATCTAGAAGAGAAATAATTATGCACAGATAGTGAAATCCATCTTATCTATTACCAGCTGAGATGAGAGTAAAAACATTTATATTCTTTGCTCTGAAATGTTTTTAACTTTATCAAAGATGATTCTTCTTATTAAATGTTATAAATGCAGTAGATATCGATTTCCACAGTATAATTTATGTGTAAAATATTACTTTGCGCAGTTTTCTAACTCATCCTTTCTCATCATTGAAGGAAAAATGAAGTTGAAACACACCTTGAAGAGGCTGGCCTCGATAACCCGGGCCGTCCTCACCTTCCTGTTCGCTCTGCTGGTGCTGGGGGTCATGGTGTGGGCTTATGTGGCGGGCTTCCAGCTGGTCACCTCCCTGTACGGAATCATCTCGTTTGGCTTTTACGGACTCCTCCTCTCGCTCCACGTGCTGGTCCAGAGCCTCTTCGCTTTCATCGAGCACCGGCGGATGAAAGCTCGCACAGAACCCTGCAGCTGCACAAAGACCATCGGCTTCACCATATCCGCTTACCAAGAGGACCCCGACTACCTCAGAGAGTGCCTCAACTCCATCAAGGCCCTCAAGTATCCATCCGAGCTGCTGCGGATCATCATGGTGGTCGACGGGAACACTGAGGATGACCGATACATGATGGAGATGTTCAAGGAGGTGTTTGCGGACCAGGATCCTGGTCTGTACGTATGGAGGAACAACTACCACACGTGGGATCCCACTCAGGTGCAGCCGTGTGAAGAAATGACAGCAGGAGGACCGGCTGATTATAAGTTTGGGGAGGATCCTCAGAGAAAAGAGGTGGAGCACCTGATCCAGACCAGAAGGTGTGTGTGCATCATGCAGAAGTGGGGAGGCAAGCGGGAGGTGATGTACACAGCCTTTAAAGCACTCGGATCATCAGTTGACTACATCCAGGTATCTGCTCCAATTCACAAAGTTTAACGTTTGGTTTCTCAGAAATTAAACATAAAGAACCTTCAGATAAAAGGTTTCTCAGAAATTAAAACATAAAGAACCTTCAGATAAAAACACGTTTCTCTGGTTTCTCCAGGTGTGTGACTCGGACACAAAGCTGGACCCTTTAGCCACCATAGAGCTGTGTAAAGTGTTGGAGAGTGACTCCAGGTACGGAGCTGTGGGAGGAGACGTGATGATCCTCAACCTCAAAGACTCCTACATCAGCTTTATGAGCAGTCTCAGGTACTGGATGGCTTTCAACATTGAGAGGGCGTGCCAGTCCTTTTTCAACTGCGTGTCCTGCATCAGTGGTCCTCTGGGTAAGAAAACTAAAACTCTGTGGTATTAATCGGTGATGCCTAATTATTCATTAATGTAACTAAGTGTTTCCCTAATTTCTCCACAAAGGTCTCTACAGGAACGACATCCTCCAGCAGTTTCTTGAGTCTTGGTACAATCAGAAGTTTTTGGGAACTCACTGCACGTTTGGGGACGACCGACATCTCACCAACCGCATGCTGAGCATGGGCTACGCCACAAAGTACATACCATCTCATTATTGTGTGACTGCTGAGTCACCATATTTCTGTTTTGATTTCTACATACTTTTATTTGATGCTATTTTAGCTGTTCGTATTATCAGAATGTCCAGCTCATTCAGGAAACGTGTGCTGTAACTAAAGTTTTTTCTAACTTTAACTCTATAGATTGAAAAATATTTATCATTTTTTAAATTAATTATTATTGGGTTTTTTTTTTTACAAACATTAAGGTAGCTTCAATTTCTTCGAAAAACACTGCTCTTTTAAAAATTTGCTTCTGGACATTTGCTCCAATTTTGTCTTCCTATGTGACTTCTAGTTTCTAACAATTTTTTTGCTACTTTTATCTTTTAGCTTGCTTTTTTGGTTTTTGGTACTTTTCCATTCTGCCACCTTTAACACGCTTTTGCTATTTTTAGCTTGTAGCAAGCCTACTTTTTGCTTTAAGCTATCCTTTTATTATTATTATTATTATTGCTTTTAGTTAGGCTTTTGCTGCTTTTAGCTTTTGGCTAGTCTTTTGCTACTTTGCGTAGCGTTTCACTTAGCCTGGTAAAAACCAGCCTCTTGTTCTTCGCTTTGCTTCATCCAGAGGGTCTGGACCCTCAGCTGTTGAGAAATGATTTCTTGCTGGAGGCGTGGACTCCGTTGAAGTTTAAAATGATTGGATCTGATTTTACCCCATCGTTTACATTTGGCGGTGACATGGGCAGTGCGCCAGTTCGACAGTGAAGGAAGCTATGCTAAGAAGCTAACTGGAAATGTGCTTTAAACAACCATCCTCTGGGAAGAGAGAAGTACTGAGCTGAATGAGATGGCTGTAAATGAGCTGCAGGCTTTGTGAGACAATTTCATTTTAATTTGGAAATTTCATCAACACATGTTGAAAAGCTTCAATCACTTCCTCTGCTGCAGGAAATCAATGTCATCGTTCACAACTCATGTTTCTGTTTGCTGATTGGCCCGGTTGAAATTCTACCAGAGAAATCCAARTCAATGGGAGAAAGCCCAGAGGCCCATCTAGACCGTGTCCCTYGAAGAACCAAGCCTCTGAATTTGRACACAGCCTATTTCTATCTGGCGTTTTGATATTTTTGACCTTTTAGTTGGTGTACTGCTCCTTTTAACTTTTAGTTAGCCTTTTGGGGCAGCTGTGATGGAGTGGTTAGGGGAGTCGTCCTGCAACATGTTCCAGCTGTCTCAGCCATTGTGTCCTTGGGCAAGACACTTCACCTGCCTTACCTACTGATCGTAGGTCTGGTGATGCATGGCAGCCCCGCCTCTGTCAGTGTGTCCCAGGGCAGCTGTGGCTACAATGTAGCTTACTACCATCTAGAGATGAAATAAATGGCTCTTTGAAGGGATCCGGATCTTGGAGAGCCATTTGTTTCATTGAGCCATTTGATTTTGAACGTACTACGTCATCACGTAGGGCAATGCGTCATCACATAGTCGTACGTAATGACGTCATACCATCACGTGGGTGGAACCATGTGTTTGTCAAGCGGAAACCCCCCTCCTCCTTCCCCCATGAGCTTCTGTACTCCACAGCTCTGCCTGTTTTTCATGAAAAAGCAAAGCGGGAGCAATTTAAATATGAAAAAATAAAGACTGCATGMGGAATAAAAGAAACAAAACTGCAAATGGCTCGTTACTGCCCACGATTCGGCTCCTATCACTCATTGTAAAGAGCCGTTCAAAAGATTCAGATCGTTCGCGAACGTCACATCTCTACTACCATCAGCGTGTGAATGTGTGTGTGCATGGGTGAATGCCTTTAGTATATATATAAAAGTTTAGTCCACATTTACCATTTTGCAAATTTTAGCTTTAAGCATGCTTCTTGCTACTTTTAATCAGTGTTTTGCTGCATTTAGTTTTTTTTTATTATACTCTTCAGCTTCTGGACTGCTTGGTATATTTTTCTTTCTTTTTGTTTGAACTTTAAAAACTCAGTGGCAGCTTCTTCATGCTGACTTTTTGCTGACTTCTTCAGCAAGTCCTACTGTGAGGATCTGGGGGGTGGGGGGTCCTGTTCATTTTCCTTTCACTGCTTTTTATCGTGTCTATTTTCTCCCTATATCAGTTTAGCCTCTCCTCAGTGTCTTTCCCCTTGCTATCTCTTCCTGGGTGTGTCTCGTTTCCCTTTCAGCTTCACCCTTTAAATTCTGTGTCTTGTTTTCTCTTCCCTGTTGGTCCATTGTGCTTCCCAAGCCAGTCTAGTTTTGTCTTCCCTTTCGTTATTTTTATAATTTCCTATTTTACTGGCCTTGCATGTTCATTTTTTTTAGAATATTAGAGTTTTGCCTGCTTCCTGTTTCTTTTAACGACTGCAAAACGTGACACATTCAGCACTTGCAGAAAATGTACTTATTAGTTTTCACACAGAATGACAGGAGAAGCCTCTGATACTGCAACAATGAAGGTTTTAAAGTCTTGTGTTGTTTGTGTCTTTCAGATACACAGCACGCTCAAAATGCTACACAGAGACTCCGGCTCAGTTTCTACGCTGGCTAAACCAACAGACTCGCTGGACCAAGTCCTACTTCCGCGAGTGGCTCTACAACGCCATGTGGTGGCACAAGCATCACCTCTGGATGACGTACGAGTCCATTGTCTCAGGCGTGTTCCCCTTCTTTGTCACGGCGACCATCATCCAGCTGTTTTGGACGGGCACGCTGTGGGACATCCTCTGGATCCTCTGCTGCATCCAGCTCATAGGTCTAGTGAAGGCATTCTACGCGTGCCTCCTGCGCCGGAACTGGATGATGGTGTTCATGTCGCTGTACTCGTCCCTTTACATGACCAGCCTGCTGCCCGCAAAGTACTTTGCCATCCTAACGATGAACAAGAGCAGCTGGGGGACGTCAGGCAGGCGTAAGATCGTGGGTAACTACATCCCCCTCCTCCCCCTGTCGGTGTGGGCTGCCGTTTTGTTGTCTGGGTTCGGTTACACGATCTACAGGGAGAGTCGGAAGGACTGGCTCAGTCCAGAAAAAGTTCTGGAAACCCAGTTTCTTGTGTTTGGTTGTGCAGCCTACTTGTGCTACTGGATGCTGATGATGTTTCTCTACTGGGCTTGGTTCCGCAGGTTGTGTCGAAAACGCTCTCAAACCTACACACTGAGTGCGTAGCTGTGAGCAACGAGGTTAATTTATTTCATTTCATGTGGAGGTTTGAAAACATAATTTATTTGAATCTGATGTTATTTATGTTTCTGTATTTATTTCTTCTCCACAAACTGAGAAGACTTAAAACTTTTGCCCATAATGGTTAATATGAAGAGAACTTTTAATTTGAAGGGGATGCAACCTTCAGGTGAAAATGAAGACCCCAAACCCAGACCCAAACCAGTGGTTATTCCGTATGTTGCGGGTGTTTCAGAGAAACTGAGACGTTTATTTTCTAA